GGCGTTCTCTCTTCTCACACAGAAGAAAACGCCTCACACATTCTGAAAGAGGAAATTTCCTCCCTCCTAACAAGGGGGCGATTCAGATGGTGCCACCCAATCTGATAAACCATGGTTTTTATTCCTGGTATTTTCATGTTCCAAAAGGCGTGGCGCCCCCCCCCGCCCTATATTGGACCTTCGAGTGTTGAACAAACATTTGAGGAAATTCAATTTCAGAATGTGACACAAGCCTCTCTCGCCTGTGCCATAAAGCAGAACGACTGGTTCACATCAGTCGATCTGAAAGATGCTTTCTTTCACATAAGCATCTACCCTCCACACAGGAAATATCTTCGTTTCGCCTACCAAGGCGTTTGTTACGAATTCACAGTTCTTCCGTTCGGGCGCAATTTGAGTCCCCGAACTTTCTGTCTGTGTGCGGAGGTGGGCGTGGCGCCCCTGAGACTATCAGGGCTGAGAATTCTGACTTACTGGCTCATCATAGCCAAATCAAAGGAGAAGGTGTCGCTGGACACCGGCCGGGTGCTCGCGCACATCACATCCCTCGGGTTCAAGGTGAATGCGAGCGACAACAATCTGACTCCCAGTCAGAATGTCATTTTCCTGGGCTTGGAATTGAACTCAGTCTCCATGCGAGCGCGTCTCTCTCAAGAGCGCGTTCGCTCGCTGATGGACTGTCTGTCTCAGTTCAGTGAAGGGGCGAGAGTACAATATCGCACATGCCTCAGGCTGCAGGGTCTCATGGCTTCATCTATCCAAGTTGTGCCATTGGTCTCCTGAGAATGAGAACGTTCACGAAATGGGTTTTGTACACTACATTTCAGCCCAATTTGCGATCTCTGCCGCTCGGTAACGATGACGCGCGCCTGCTCGGCGGCCTTGCGCCATTGGGAGAGCGAGAACTTTTACGCACGGGGAACCCCCCCTCGGGACGGTACGATGCGAAAAGTTTTGACGACAGATGCGTCCTTAACAGGCTGGGGAACCACCCAGGAAGGCAGAACGGTGAACGGTCTGTGGCTGAGCAGACTACGTTCAGCGCACATTAACTATTTAGAGCTTTTACTATTTGGAAAGCTCTGAATCATTTTCTGCCTTGCCTGCAGGGACATCCTGTTCTAGTACGGTGCGATAATACCACGGTAGTGGCTTATATCAACCGTCAGGGTGGCGTGCGCTCGTCGAAACTCCACGCTCTAGCTTACAGGCTTTTGGTGTGGAGCAGACAGGTTTTTCTGTCATTACGCGTGACTCATGTCCCGGGCATTCGGAACAGAGGCGCGGATCTGCTATCGAGGGGAAACCCAATCCACGGGGATTGGCGTCTTCACCCGCAGATAGTGGAGAGGTTATGGATGAGATTGGACAGGCAGCCGTAGATCTTTTCGCCTCGCACGAAAATCACCATTGTCCTATGTTCTTCTCGCTAAAGGACATGGACGCGCCCCTCGGGGCAGACGCACTGGCCCACCCATGGCCCAAAGTGCTGTTGTATGCTTTTCCTCCCCTGTGCCTGATAATTTTCACACTGGCCAGGGTGAGAGAGCACGGCCTGTCTCTCATTCTGATAGCACCCAGGTGGCCCAAAGCCCCATGGCTGGCAGAGATAATCCCTCTGTTATACGCCGAGCCATGGCGCCTCCCCCCTCGCACGGACATACTGTCCCAAGCCAACGGGGAGATTTACCACCCCCACCCGGACAGGGTGGCTCTCTGGGCCTGGCCCGTGAGAGGACGAACCAAAATGCACTGGGGCTCCCGCCGCGTGTAATCGCCACTACTCAGAAGGCTAGGGCCGTTTCCACGCGATCCCTATATGGCTGTAAGTGGCAAGTGTTCGAAGGGTGGTATGATGGGCGTGGTTTCACATCTTATCAGTGCTTGGTGCCTGATATTTTGTGTTTCCTGCAAGACCTCATGGAAAGAGGCAGGTCCTTTTCCACTATTAAGGTCTACCTGGCTGCGATTTCAGCCTGTCATGTGGGTTTTGGGGCTCCACCGTCAGGCAGCACCCTCTAACCCGCAGATTTATGGAGGGTGCACGCCGCTCTTTGCTGGTCATCAGGAGATCTGTTGAATCTGTCCCAAAGTGGGACCTCTCCATGGTGCTGGAAGCGCTTTCTCTGTATCCTTTTGAGCCTCTGGGGAGTATTTCCCTTAAGCTGCTGTCCCTCAAGACAGCTTTGCTCTCGGCCTTGGCATCTGCTAAACGGGTCAGTGAGCTACATGCACTCTCGGTTCACCCCTCGTGCGCCAAATTCTGGAGATAGTGGAGATAAGGTTTTCCTTAAGCCTAACCCGGCCTTCATGCCGAAATGCTTCCCTGCGTTCACGTCGGAGGTTTTGGAGCTATCCGCTTTTCACCCTCCACCCTTTGCCTCCCCGGAGGATCAGGGGCTGAATGCTCTGTGTCCCGTCCGTGCTCTGCAAGCATAATGACCAGGACCAGTGCTTTCCGCAAGAGCGACCAGCTCTTTGTTTCAAGTGCTCCCCTGCACAAGGGGAGTCCCATTTCAAAGCAATGCCTCTCACATTGGCTTGTGGACGCTATACTATGGCTTAGGAAGCAAAGGGAGTGTAGCCCCAAGGGGCATCAGAGCTCATTCCACAAGGGGCTTAGCCGCCTCTTGGGCTTTGTTCAGGGGAGTGCCACTGCAGGACATCTGCTCCGCGGCCAGCTGGGCCTCTCCTCATACCTTTGAGCGTTACTACCGGTTGGATGTCACCAGAACTTCGGTGGCACACTCGGTCCTAGGGGTAGGGTCCTCTTAGCCCTTTCCCACAGCCCCGTTTGGTTAACCAACGAGGAGTGAATGGGCCGGCTGGCCATATTCATTCCTGTCACCAAGCATTCGCATTCCTTCTTGGGTTTAGCTATGTGCATTGGTGGTGCGGGGGCCATTATCATATATGTGTCTCATGCATGTTTCATGCCCTGCTTGTCCACAGCAGTTAGCGTGGCGGAAAACTTGCAGGGTCATGTTTGTGGGACGTGTCAGGCACCGCCTCTCTGAGGTGACCGTCCTTCTCTGACCTTCAGAACCTCACTGTGAGTGTATTGGGCAATCGGGGAGCTGTCCATGTCTCTCCCATAGGTGGATCTCGAAACGAGATGATGAAAGAGAACAATAGGTTACTGTCGTAACCCCGGTTCTCTGAAACATCGAGTGGAGAGATCCACCAGCTTTGCCCCGCTTGCCGCACGAGAAGCGAATATACTTACTGAGGAATAGCAGCGCGCCCAGCTGTGATATGCCCGTAGGTAAAGGGGTGTGGCCTCACCTGACATTGGCATTTGGTGCAATTGGATGCTTCTGCAGAGGTCAGGTACGGATGCCCTTCCCATAGGTGGATCTCTCCACTCGATGTTTCAGAGAACCGGGGTTACGACAGTAACCTATTGTTTTTAGAGATAAAACACTTTACATTCGATTATCATGAAAACAAATCTCAGAGAACGGTTGACTAGGTACCAATGTTTTATTAGACCAAAGGTTCATTTTGCGCCGGAGTTCTCCTTTAACACTCTCAATAATCAAGCCATTTGGATTTTCCGAGCAATATGATGTCATATTGCTAACGCTCCGTCCACAACCGCTGACGGACTGTCCTGTATTAGCATATTTCCGCCCTCATCCATTTGTATACAGCACTTTACAGAAGAGAGGGGTGGGGTGAGCTTATCATTTAAAGAGACATGCATTAAAACGGGTCGCTGTGAACAGAGCTGTTTTTGAGGAGGTAAAAAGGGTGTTGTTTTACACAACCATTGAGCATCCAATGACCCCTTTAAAATAGCTTGAATGTACTCTACACCATACCTGTCAACATTTGGATTCCTAAATACGGCAGATCTGAATTTTGTATAGAAAGATTAAAAATACAGGAAAATATTTAAACGGGATGATAGCGGGATAGCAAGGTAAAATACGGGAGGGTTGACAGGTATGCTCTACACACCCTTGCCTCATTTAATATAGCTCACACCAGCTCAGAGACGTGATTGGTTACGAGGTAGTTTGTGACGTCAGAAACACCAGCGATTTCAAACCGCATTTTTGAGACTGTCTTTGGTTCACTGCAGTTTTAAGGAGAAAATACTCATCAATGGTGTTTGTACATGGTTTCTCTTAAAGCATATAAAAAATTTTCACCACAGGGGGGACGTTAAAGTGTAATTTACCATATACACAAAACGTTGTTTTTACTAGAAATGCATTATTGTGTCTGTTCATTAATCTTCCTCAACAATCCATAACACCGTGTCTGCACCAGACGTGACTGTTATCAACAGCTTTAGGCTGTCTACACAGGATGCCACAAAGCTACCCTTGCAAATTCATTTGTTCTTCGTGTCAGAAGTAGCGCGGACGCTTGAAGTACATCAACTGGTGTAGACATGGTGTAACACTCAAAATAATTATTTATCTCTTTTAATTTAATGTTGATTTCCAAATCTATAAATACAGACATAAGCTCTCAGGTCAAAATTTACCTGGCAATATTTCAGATAAAAAGTAAATCTCAGACCTTGTGCATGCTTTTAAAGAGGACAGTGTCTGTCCATAATGGTTCATATTCTCAAACAAGTACTAAAATGCAGAACTTTTGATGTTGTCAAATGCAAGAGCTCGAGTTCTAATGGCTTCTCGTACTTGACGTTATTAACCCAAAATTATTTTCAACCCCAAATTAGCATAATTTCTTGATAAGTTTTTCCATATTTCACTGTTCTACTTTGTTCTGGGTTAGCAGTTAATTAAATATTTTACAATGTGAAGTTGTAAACACTGAGTTAATGTTCTTATTTTCATATTTGTTAAGGTTAATAACATCAAGTGCAGCACATGACCTGTTTTAATAACTGTCTGTCTATCTGCGAAATCATCTCCATCACCCCAGTTAATGTGTCTTTTGTGGTTGCTTGGTTTTGTTCGTGGCTGCTGCTGTGCATGTGTGCATGTGTGTGTGTGTGTGTGTCTGATGTGATGGGACAGCAGGAGTCTGATGAAGAGGAGGAGCTCTTTGAAGATGTAGAAGAGGGGGAAGATGATGCTTCTGATGAAAACAAAGAAGAATGTGAAGTTCACATAGAAAATGAGGACGACGAGGCAAGACGAAGGTCACCCGCCTCTCTGAATTCTGAGGGTTACTTCTACATGACCATGGAGGTAACGCAGAGGAATCAGAGACTTCATCCCTCGACAACTCCTAATGTTTCCTTTGCTTTATTCTGTCACGTTTTCCCATTCCATCAAAACCCGTTGACTTAACTCTGTTTCCTGGTTATTTCATCTTCTAACAGTTCTGTTTTTGACTACATTTATCGTCACCCTTGCCTTGTCATCTTTACCAAGTCCTTGTTTCTTCCACTTCCAGATTCTCCTTTATCACTTTTCAGTTTTGTTCTTCCTTTCAATTTAGTTTGAAGGTCAATATAAAGATTATTTTGATTTTATTCTTCTGAACAGTACAGTTTCCACACTACTTGACTGAATGAAGATGTGCATGTTATCCCTCGTCCTCTAGGGGGCAGTAGGACTTCATCATTCTTTCACTGAGTGTGTATTTATTAATCTTTCAGAATCAGATGCTCCCTGTACTTGAGAATCACAAGTACTGTGATCTCCATTTGCACATGTAACACATGCTCATTTTGAACGTTATTCAAATCTAATTTATATTTCTCTAAAAAGATTTATGCAGAGATTAAGCTAAAATCTGTATTAGAAAAAAGTAACAATTAATTGATCTTTGATAAACCATGAATTGTGTATGATAGGCACAGCATATTGTGCTGCTTTACTGAACTTTATTTAGACTTAATTCTGATTTGGGTTCCTAATTGTGTGGTTGACATTAAAGAATGTGCTTTGTTTTGTACAGGACTCTGTTTCTGCAGACGATGTTTCTTCTACAGAACCGGTTTTGGAGCAAGCAGAAGCAACCGACTCTAAGGTAACGCTAGACCCTCTCCAGTAATGACCGGTCTTAATTTGATCACAATGCGTGTGTGTGTGTGGTACATTCAGAGCAATAACCCGTCAAATCATTGCTGCTGTGCATGCGTCAAATTTTTGTTCTTTAAAAATTAAGAAAAGTGGCCACTCTCGAAAACTATTTTGTAGTCTTTTGGAAAGTTCAGACTGTGCCCAGATATAAAAATACGTAACCTCTTTTTTCCTGCATTTGCAGGTAGAAGTAGATACATCTGTGGCCTCGGGAACAGGTGTGTCAGAAGCTTTATCTGAAGCGGACGCCACAGAGGAAAGCCAGTCTCTCCCTGCGGACATGGTAACCAATACCTCCTCTGTTACAGAGATCTCCACATCCCCTTCCAGAGGCCAGCAGAGGTGTTTGGTCTCCTAGTTGTAGTTCTTTCCTTACAGAACCTCCATGTCTCTTAACTGCACCTCTAGAACCCCTAGATGTAGATGTTTCTAGTGCTAGAACTCTCTTTCAGTGCATTTACATGGCAGATGTGTAAAAATAAGGACTTCTGAGGAAAGAATATCTTCAAATAGTTCAGAACTGAGAACAAAACAAGGGTAGAATTAAGCTAAATGGTTTTATAGAAATCAAACAAAACAATGTATCAAAGGGCTTAAAGCAACTTCCTGTGGATTTTGTGATTTTGTCCCAAACTTTTATGATGTCGTCTAATTGTGTCAGGACATTCTAATACCAAAGAGCATTTTGAACTTTTGTCTTTTTCTATAATATCAATGTTTACATGTCACGCTGTGTCTGCACTGGACGTGTGCGGTGTGGCCCAATAAAACCGGATCTCATTATAATCAACTACACTATAAAGGTGCGGTCCCATTTACCGTTACTCAACAAAATTTTGCAGGCAAAAGCAATACCACAAAATACTATGTATTTTACTGCTAAAGTCTCTTTGGAAAGCAATTATTTAGTCTATTTTATTGAAGTGCAGTGTTATGTTTGAGTGGACACTGCAAGAATGAGGGCAGAGAAATGTGCAGATATTTCTCTGGTCCATTGTCGATCTTTTTGCTATGTTACAAATGCCCGCCCACACAGATGTCACTGCCAAACCAGGAGGCTTGCTATTGGTCGGTGCCCCAAATGGTCAAAGTTCACCAAATCTGAGCCCGATGTAAATTTGTGTAGGGAAATGTCTTTGCAACCAGAAGTTAATCAGGCAATATTCTTCATTGCGCCGATTCCAGTTGAAATTTCGCCCGCAAAATGTTGCAGGTTAATGGTAAATATAACAGCACCTTAACACTTCATAACCACTATTTTTGATATGCTGCACAGTAACTCCAGCCAGTTTCTATCAGATATAAAATTATTTTATTTACAAATATCATTTTACAGTATCAGTCAAAAATTTGGACACACCTACTTATCATTACTTTTTCATTATTACTTTTTCCACATTTTAGTGAATGTGAATTTTTTTCATTGCATGTTATCTTATTGTGCTTGATTTTTAACTACTAAATACAATGCTATGAAACCAAAAAGATCCTAAAATCTTTTATATGGCATGTTGTTGGTTTTTTTTTTTTTATAGCAGTGTGGGGTTTTTTGAAATTTTTTCCTTCCAAATGTAAGATGCTACTGTGAAAAGATTGTTTGAAACAAGTGTATGATTGAGTGAAACAAGTGTATGTGAACATTTAAAAATAGCTAGCCAATGACTGCTCACTCTGCACAGCTGTCTAAGTGCATGTGTATTAAGAATAATATATTGTCTTTCATGAGTGATTGTTGTTTACATGACACATTCTCTAAAATTATGCTTTTTCCTGCTCAAGGAGCAGGATATGGTATATGGTATTTATGTTTAGTATTTTATCTTTTTGTGCCATGTAAAAGCACTGACTCTTATACACACCTGTGCATATTCTCCAGATCTCTCCCTCTAATACTTCCTGTGCGATCACTGTCATGCTTCTTTAAAGTCTGAAAAAAATAATAAATTCCAACAAAAAATTCACACTCGCTCGTCTCTCTCTTTCTCTGTCTGTGTCAGGAGCAGGGTGCATGGAGGGGGGAACAGACGCCACACACCAGTGACACACACACACTCATGACCCTCCCAGAAAACACACACAAACATCCAGAGTCACAAGCCCCTCCCACAGAAACAGAAGACATGTTGACCTCACCTAATGTCATGACCTCTAGTGAAGAGGTGGGCGGGGCCTTAGAAAAACTTGTGGGATTCTCAGAAATGCATTCCACATCCAGTCAACAGACCCATTTAGATGAGATCCCCTATGTTCTTCAGAGCCTGGGCTCCACAAATACACCATCAGCCAAAACACCAGAGCACTGTACACACACTCCATCAGATGCAGACTATAGGATAGACAGCAGAAGCACACACGACACACGCACACCGATCGCAGTCAAACCCCACCTGGAGAAGACAGGGCCGTTGGCTGCAAGCAAATCTTTGGTAAGCACAGATGCTGATGGTGAATCTCACCCCACTGACTCAAACTTGACACAGACCTTGTGTTCATCAACTCACTCACCGCCTGACTCCAAATGGTGTGTGCTGCATTTTATCTGCATATTTCTCTTTGCTCACACAAAGGAGAAAATAAATACTCATTTATTTTTCTTACAACTAAAATAGCTAATTCAGTGCTATTCTTGCAGTCTGAAATGTCAAGGATTGGATTCAGTGACAGGAATTTACCTTTGCAACTAGGTGATTCCTTAAAAAAAATAATCCTTTTTTAATCATTAATTGTTGATTATTAATAATTAACACCTCAACAGATTATTTTATTAATATTTTGTATTACTACTATTTCTGTGTGTAAAACATAAACTGCAGAAAGTCAGGAATCCACCCATATGCAAAAAATATTTCCCATATTTTTCAGCTAAGATCCACTTATGTTTTTTTTTTATCAAAAAGTCAAAATTTGGTTTCTTTATGATCGTTTTCCTCTCTCTCTCTGCCCCTTAGAATTGAAAAGGCCATTTTTTTGCCTTCAAGATATCTATGTAAATGCCCTCTTTGCATATGAAATAAGCTAAAGTAAAAATAAAATAAAAACGTCATTATTAGTTTTTTTCTGGCATTCACTGCAGGAAATCTACTTCCTCAATAGCTCAACATTTCTAAACACGGAATAGCCGTTGTTTAGTAGGCTAAGAGTTTAGTCTGTCCACAAAAAGTTGTATAATTACAAAATAAGAATCTTGCAGCTTAGTTGAAATAAAACGTTTTTGTGGACTGGGAAACATTTTTTTTATTTTGTTATGAAAATATGTTTTCATAGTAAAATAATTTTTTTTAAATATGGTATATGACCCATAACCACGAAAGACATTGAGGGGGACACGTTCCCCCCCAATATTCAGATTTGCAGTCCACTAATATACGTTTTTCTGTGGTTGATTCTTAAATTTTACATTAGGTGCCCCCTACTTCTGAATATGCTATATTTCTGAAATGGAAGAAAACAGTATATTCTATGAATTGCAGTGATACCAATATGCTAAACAAGATATTCTGTGACCTCTGAGAGGGACAAAAGCAGTTTCTTTTTCTTAGAAAGAAATGAAAGAAATACTAGTGTAATGGAATAGTATAAAGGATGAAAAATAATCTAGGTCAATGGAGTCAGTGCAAGGCAAAAGTATAGTTCCTCCTTTATATGTGTGTGTGAGTGTGTTCTGTCACACAAGCTGCCCTCGAAAGTGACGACATTCCAGGAAGTAGTTGTAGCCGCAGGTGGGTGGAGTAAACCAGGGACAGACAGACCGAGAGAGAGTAGCCACCTGACAAATGAAAGCTGAGACAGTTTACTGAGAGAAAGGCTGCACCGGGGGGCAGAGAAACACAAACAAAAGGGTTAAACCAGTGTGAGACAGAAACTAAGAGAGAAAGAAAGCAGAGTGTGTGAGAATGTGAAAGTTTGTGTTTGTGTCAGTGGAGACACCCAGTGTGTGACAGTTTCTGTTGCTGTGAATTCAGTGTTTCTCCTGCAGTCAGCCAGAGCAGGTGTTCTCTCTCTCTCTCTCTCTCTCTCTCTCTCTCTCTCTCTCTCTCTCTCTCTCTCTCTCTCTCTCTCTCTCTCTCTCTCTCTCTCTCTCTCTCTCTCTCTCTCTCTCTCTCTCTCTCAGTACACCTGTCTTTACCTTTACTCTATTCTCCTTCCCCTGCCTCGTGATTCTCTTTGGTCTCTGAGCTGCTGCTGTTGTGTATGATTGTCCAGGCGGACTCTGCTGGATGTCTGTCCGGTGACGGGCTGCTCCATGCCTGTCGTGAGAGGGCCGAGCAGCTGGAGGAGTGTTTGGAGAGAGCACAGGTCAGCCTGGAGGGGTCGAGACGGCAAGCTCAGGACGCAGACATGCAGCACAGCATTGAGCAACAACTTCACACCTGCCAGGTCATTTCACACACATGCCTTTCATATCTGATTTATCTCTGCACATGACTAATATATACAAATAAATAGTCAAATATATTTTAATTCATTTATTTAGTTTTCTGTTATTTGGGGTCTGTAGTATTTATAATTTTTGAAATATATGTACACTGCCCGACCCCCAAAAAACCTCGCTGTTTGGATTTAAATAGGCAAATGCTTAAGATCCTATATTAGATTAAGTGCCATTGAATCTAATGCATCATGGCAATATTCCAGGATGACAATGTCAACAATCATTTTCACACATGAATTGGCAACAAAAATTGATGCACCTCTTGATGGAAATACATGTTGCATACATTTTTGTTCAAGATCTTGTATTGACAAAGCAAGAGTCAAGCACTCTGTAAAGTCTCCTCCAGCACATCCCAAAGACTTTCAATTATGGTGCCGATTCATGTGTGAAAATTATTCTTCATGCTCCCTCTCAACTATTCTTTCACTCTTTGAGTCTGATGAATCTTGGCTTTGTCATCCTGGAATATGGCCATGATGTGTCTTCCAACATGGTTGTTTAGGAAATGAAAAGCTACACACTCCATCAGTTAGGGTTAGACTAACTGTTGGCAAACATATAACATGCTAGAAACATAATAATCACAGCAATAATGATCCAATCATAGACTCTTAAGTAATTGCCTATTTAAATCCAAAAAGCGACTTTTTTTGGCCGGGCAGTGTCCACACACACACACACACGTATATATACTGTTGCTGTGAAATGCTGAGTCAGCAGAAGAGGAAGTGAGATTTGTCACATTTACCATGTTGATATATTTGCATGTAAAGTTGTTTCTGGACATGCCATGACCATTACTGTACATTTATAGAGAAATCTACAGTGTCAAAGTATCTTCTTCTAAAGTTTCTGTTCATTTTGTTTTAACTTTAAAAGATTTCATTATCATTTTCGGTAGAATTCAGTTCTCTCCTATATAATCAAGTCTCTCTCCTTTTCTTTGTGACTTTCTCTTTCATTTTCTTGTCTTTTACTGCAGTGTTTTACAGCTGTAAACTCTTTTACTACTCAGAGATCAAAGTGTTAGCCGATGACCATAATCGAAGCCCAGACCCAATGATATACATTAAAACTGTAGATTGTCAGATGTCAAAATGTATTTTTTGGTTTAAATTTGGTTAGACTGAAAGTTGAATGTTTGTTTTGAATAATAGTTGCTGTGTACAGAAATACTGACTTTCTGAATTACAATCAGGAATAGATTGGATTGGATTAGATTAGATGACTTCAGTTACTATGGTAACACAATAAAAATATATATTTTATTATCTTATTTGCTAATGGATAGTTTATTTAGCTTTTATCGCAGTGCTGAATCAGTTATCTGCTGATATCTGCGTTTGTTTCTTTGGAAATCTAAATGTACAGCAAGTCAGTAAGTTGGCAGTACAGCACATGGCTCAATGAACCAAAAAATATGAGCCTGTTATGTACCTTTGGGGTGGAGTGAATACATATCAATGAATGCTTATTTCTTTCCTTTCTCTCTCTCTCTACCTATTTTATTCTCTTTTAAACACACATACATGTTATACACATGACATGCATGAGCATGTCTGTGCTTTTTACCTCAGATGCATCAGTGTGTCAATGCATCATGAATTTTGACTTCTCTTTTCTTAAGGAATCTCTCTGTGCGGATACTTCAGTTATTGAGTGTTTACTTTCACTCAGATTAAAGTTTTTTGAGGAGAGCGATAGCTGGCGATAGATCTGCCTTGTCTTAGTCAAGTTATCTTACAAGTTCCTCATACGTTTCCTGTTCAAATGAAATAATTTAGCCTGTCTGATCTTTTTCGGTGTCTTAGAGCCCAAAAGGAATATGGCTCTTCTTGTGCTCTTCTGATTTGTTGAACTTGGCATTGAACGTTTAGTCTCATTGTGCTGTTTGGATGTGGTCATGTGTCTCTTTAATGCAGTTAGATCTGATATTACTGAAGAGGTTTGCTTTAAAACTAGGTGTGGTCATGCTAGACTTTGAGCATGCAAATTTACTTTGGATACCACAATGAATATGGGCAACAGGATATGATGTGCACCATTTATTC